ACTTTTGGTCCAAAATCCATGGCGTCCTTTGCAACCTGGCACTGGTCTTGGCGACATCCGCTTGCCAACCTTTCACCGCAGGTAATCGCTGACCTATGTAGATCAGAAAACCATCTAGTGACTGAACCATCCAGAGTGCCGCTTCTGGCATAGTCTACTCTTAGCTGAGCATCCGGGAAGCCGGAAACGCCGAATTCTCAGCTTGGGAGACCCTGCTATGAACCTCTGCTGTACTTCGCAGCTTGAAACCCAGAGGCACTGCCGTGCCACGATGAGGCGATAGACCGGGAATCCTATAGCTATTAATGCGGTAGACCTTATCTCTTGCTCTCTGAATCGATAAAAGGCTTTACTTCTCAAAACCTTTGATTAAGTCTAAGGTATAAAACAGCGGCCATTGGTTTTTGGATTTCAAATGAAGGTGGAAGAATTCTACTTCGAAAGACTTGTTATCAATTGAATGGCCGTAATCTACAGTTTCGAATATTTGCATTACTCGCTTATAAGAGAACGATTTTCGCAAGAAGAGCGCTAATGGACTCTTCTCACGATGATGGAGTGCTCATCTAAAAGGTAGTCCATTTCTTTTTTACGTGCAACCATCATAGTAACATTCTCTGCTTTTACAATTTGAAGTTGACTGATTGATCGTGTCATGGTCCGTAATAGCGACATCCTTGAGCTGTTTACTTTAGTGACTTCATGAGGTCGTCATGCACAAGCTCAGAATTGTCGCTGACAGCGTAGAAGCAGTAAGACCATCTAGACTGCAATAAGACCCAAGCCAAGAAGGACTTACCGTAACTCTATACAAATATAGTATCGAATAATTAGTATATGGATCATACCGCCATAACAGAGAAAGCTACAAGTAAAACCCTCGTTTAAACTGAGTTCGTTCTTTAAACTAAGTACTAACGGTCGAAATGAAATAAACGAGTTTTAACAAAAAGGAAGCATTTTTTTTAAAGCAGGGCTATCAGCAACAGAAAACCTCTTAGGTAAGTGGCAACAAGACAGCGAATGTTTTTGTTTCTTCCAGATATGGTGATGTACCAATATTTTGCCCTCGTCGTATACCCCACTCTATAGCAAGATATTTCTAAGCTTGGATCAAGAAGTATATTGTCTTCTTTCAAGCTACTTGCTTGAGACTATAAGTACTGAAATGTACTATGTTCACAAACGAGCATGAAGAGAACTTTGTAACTACATGATGACATTTTATAAACATTAGAATGTTCCAATGTGAAATATTTAGACATGGACATATATAGCTTTACAATTGTTTCCCTGAAGGGGACCTTTAGGTTCGAAAATAGTGCAGCAATTGCAAGTGATTTGTGGCTATGTGTACTTAGAGGCAGCCTTAATTCCCTCAGACCGGCATTCT